TCTTAAATCCTGGCCAGCCTGAACTACACAGAGATCTTATCAAGAAAAGAAGGGGGTGGGGAGGAGAGAAGGAGAGAAGCAAGGGTTGGTCTAGAAAATCTAAACATAAGGTAGTAAAAGACACCCACTTGTTGAGCGTTTGCCGCTTATGATTGCTAGAAGCTTCCATGACCAAATCATGCAAGGCCTCTCATTTGCACCTTCTTTTTAAATCGTCTCGATTTCTCACTGAAGGGACTCTGGCCAGCTCGACCGTGGCAAACGTGGCTCTGGCAGGACTTGCCCTTCTCCCAGATTCCTTCTGCCTTGCTAAAAAACTGTTAGACTAAAGCTGGTCACCAAGGTCTATGCCCTTATTTGGCCACTTCCTCCTCCTGAGCTGACTACCTAGGTTTTGAAGTCCAGCAATCAGAAGCCCCCTTTAGTTACCCTAATTAACATGTCCAGTTAAAATTAAGCACCTCCTCCTAACACAGGTTTCTCCTTGTACCTCTACAAACTGCCATTCCCCTAGTGCCACGCCTGTCTCCTCTCGGTCCTGAAGCAGTCCCTTGTCCCTCTGGGACAAATATCCCTGCCTCCTCTCCTGTTCCCTTCCCCTTCTCCCTCACCCTCTGTCTCCTGTCTTTGTCTTATTCCCTGCCCTCTGTCCCTCTAGGACAACTAAATCTCCTTTCTTCTGAGAATGTGGTCCCGGGGGTCCCGAGCCCATTTTTCCTTTCACTTGCCAAGGAAGCTTCTTTTATAGTTATTGTCTGTTTCACGGTTGGGTTTTTTTTTTAAATTTTGTTTTGCTTGTCTTATGATTTATTTATTTCACACAGGGATTTTCTGTGTAGCCCTGGTTGTCCTGGAAATTACTCTGCAGACCATGCTGGCCTCAAACTCACAGAGATCCTCCTGCCTCTGCCTCCTGAGTGCTAGGATTAAAGGCGTGTGCCACCACCACCCAGCTTCTCACATCATTCCTAGCAGCTAGGACGACCTGCCTAGTGCCCCAGGTAGCATCACGGGATAAACAGAAGTGAATAGACCAATGAGAGCTAGCGTGGTTGTGCACACCTATAATTCCAGCACTTGGGAGGTAGAGGAAGGAGAATCAGAAATTAGAGGTCAACCTTAGCTACTTTGTGAGTTTGATGCCAGCCTGGGCTACATGGGCTCCTGACTCAAAATAAATAAATGAATAAATAAATGAAGGAAGGTGGGGGGAACATGCATAGAGTTCATGTATGTATGTATGTATGTATGTATGTATGTATGTGTCTCTGTAAGTGTATACTACATATATGGGGATACCTGCAGAAGACAGAGTGGTTAGATTCCCTAAAACTACAGGCAATTGTAAGCTGTCTGATTTGGGTGCCAGGAACTGAACTTAGGTCCTCCAGAAGAACAGTACCTGCTCTTACCCTGTTCCGCAGACGGCTGGTATGTAAGCACTGAGGCCAGGACCCACCTCACTGTCTAGGTCTAAAGTCTCCGGAGCTGGCTTTGTATGGCTCTGCAGTTCTAAATTCAGAATCTGTTACTGATGTTGAGAGCTGGAGACTGGCTTCTGGGACCAGGAGGTACTAGGCTAGGGTACTTGCTGCTCCAGGTAGCCAACGCCCATCTCCAACTTGCCAGGCATTTCAAATTCCAAGGCAAGCAAACTTCCTTACAACAGGCAGCTCTGGTACCCACAGAATCGCTAGAATCTGTTTTGGGGTCCACTATGTGCCAGGAACTTCTGCAGGCACTCAGTTTGCAGTATCTAAGTGCCCAGAAGGGACTCTTGAAGGTGACGTGACTTGCCTAAGACCCAGCTGCTACAGTGGCCCTGAATTCAACCAACCCAAGAGGCTGATTAGACACCAGCCACCGTATGAGGGATTACCCATTCTCTTGTCTTAGATGTAGGGGAAAACAGAAGTTTGGCGAGGGCAAATCCTTTGCTAGTTCATGGACCTATTTAACGTTAGGGCTGAGATTTGGAGCCAGGTTTGGGGGTCACTCAGGACATGTAGGAAACTAAACTTGAGGTCTCTGGTTTACTCTCATCACCCTCCTGCCCTCTGCACCCCCGTCCTCTCTATTATACTTGACATTATCCATCTCTCCTCTCTCTGGGAACGCCCTCCTCCTCCTGTTTCCATGACAGCAATTCTCCCTTTATTCCTTCTGCTGCTCCGGTAGTTTCTTACTCTCCATGGGGGCTCCAGAGCTAGGAGAAAAGGGGGTCCCCCAGCTAGATTCCCGGTCTCCTCTCTCCACTCTCAAAACAGATGCACCCTCTGGGTCCTGGGCTCTGACCTTCTACTCCAGCTCCGCTTTTCCAGTCACAGCACCTTGCTGGGTGGCAGGCCCTATGGCTACATATACATTACCTAATCAGTCCTCACAGGTTGTCTCCAAAAGTCCATGCTACAGGTAGGGAAACTGAGGCTCCGATAGGGAGAGCCAACTTCAGATTCTAGCCTTCATCGGGAGTTCTAGGACATCCAGAAGAGCCTGAAACTGTAGGGCATTTTTAAACCAAAGGCAAAATCTTTCCTCCCACCTCCTGGAGAGAAAGGAATGGAAATTTCGGGGAGGAAGCGCCCTGTGATAGTCTAGAATTACACTGTCAGTTTTCAGCTCTAAAAATCCACCGCACATGGTACATTTTGAAAAGCAAAGATTTGGAGAACTTACGGAGGAACAAAAGTTCACGGGAAATTGCCCTTTTCTCCCATTTTGTGAAGTCTTCAAAAGCCTCATCCTGGAGTTCCGGCAGTAGCTGGGATGTCTTCCTACTTCAATGATGCCCACAGTTCACAGCAAACTTGGACCTGGGAATTTTCTCTACAGTTCCTCTGGCCTGAGTCCTGCCACTCCTGACACAGTCTAAGACTCAGGGGATATCAGCATGACCTCTCCAAGCCCAGTGTTCACATCTAAAATAGGGATACTAACCAATAAAGGTGCACACCTTTAATCCCAGCACTGGGGGGCGGGGGGGAGGGGACAGAAGCAGACCAATCTCTGTGAGTTTAAAGCCAGTCTGGTCTCTATAGCAAGTTCCAGGACAACCGGTGCTACATAGTGAGATCTTGCCTCAAAAACAAACAGCTGGGTGGTGGTGGCACACACCTTTAATCCCAGCACTCGGGAAGCAGAGGCAGGTGGATCTCTGTGAGTTTGAGGCCAGCCTGGTCTACAAAAGTTCCAGGACAGGCTCCAAAGCTACAGAGAAACCCTGTCTCGAAAAACCAAAAACCAAACAGACAAATGGGGGTCGTGCTACTTCTGCCCCTCTGCTGTCGAGAGGAGGAGCTGAGTCACTGTGCACAAAGCACTTGGCACCAAGCCTGGTGCTCCACGGCACTCTTGTCGGTTCTCGGCCTCCCCCGCTCAAAGCTTGTGGTTTTGCCATGCTCATGGACCTACCCATGCTTCCCCCACCGTCTGCCTTCTTGGTAGCCAACTCCTATGCATCCTTTAAAACCCCCTGGCCCTTTGCCACCTCTTACAGAATTGCTGCAAACACATGTTTCATTAGACAGGCACTTCCCTGGGACACCCTTCTGGGGCTGTCACTACTTGTCACACCGGCATGCAATCCCCTGTGAGTGATTCGCCTCCCAGCACTGGCTGGAGCTCTCCAAGAGAAGAGGCATGGCTGACTGATTGCTGAGTCTCAGTGCCCAGAGTGCCCAGTGAAGGAAGACTTCAATGTGCTTACGTTACCTTGACCACACATGGTCTGGGCCAGCCTCAGCTGATTCCAGGACAAATGTCTGTTAGTATCAGAAAGGTGGAAAAAGCAGCCAGATCTTGTCGGATGTGGTAACACATGCCTATAACCTAAGCACTTGGGAGGTGCCACGGCTTGCCAGTGTGTACACACACAAACACATGCATATGCAAGCGAATAATAAAAAGAAAAAAATTAAGTTGGGCTCAGTGGATAAAGGTCCTTGCTGTCAAGCCTCATGACTTGAGTTCAAATCCCTAGAAACCCACGTGGCAGAAAGAGAGAAGACCTCTCCCAAACTGTCCTCTGACCTCCACACGTGCGCTGTGGCAGGAGCAACGCCCCCACAGAGGCACAATCAATCAATCAATGCTTAAACGATTTTAAAACCTACACTCTGGAGGCTCCAGAAGATCAGGAGTCCAGGACCAGCCTGGGCTACGTGAGACACTAGCCCAATAAGCAAACAGACAGACAGACAGACAGACAAAGTGAGTTCTCATTTCCACAGGCAAGAACAATGAGGGAACTAGAGCAGCTCTACAGCCTGCCCTGGGCAGGACACAAGGCTAGAGTCCTTGCAAGGAAGACACACAGCCCTTACTCCTGTGTCACCCGCTTCTGGAGTCTGCCCCTGCGTATTTGTCCCCTTCCCCTGCAACTCTCCAGCAGTGAGTGTAGTCTTTTGCGTGGTGACCACCTCACCACCACCACACTCAAACAGAAATCTCTGGTCCATTTGGGTGGCAAAGGTCATTTATGTGGCTGGGTTGCGGGCTATGGTGGCTGAGCCGGCCTGATGTCTGTCAGTGGTGATCTTTACACCGCATCCTGGGTACAGTTATCCCAAGGTTCTGGGATTTTAGGGACTTCCCACTGAGTAAAGAATGGGTTTTGTCCATCAAGGGAGCCTTCCCCGCTAGCCTAGCTCCTGCCTCCCTGGAGGCTGGTTCAGTCCTTGCTGGAGTGACAGCCTCCAGCTTTTGTTCCAAAGAAATGACTGTCAAGAAGAAAAGAGGTATATTGTCTCTCTCCTTTTTTTTTTTTTTGTTTGAGACAAAAGCGTCAATTTCTTTCCATCTGTCCCAAAAAAGGAAGAGAATTAAATTTGTTTTTACAAGGATGTCATCAGGCTGCTTCAATACGGAGTCAGGCAGGTTGCTCAGGCAGTGGGGGAGGCATGGGGGACAAGGGAAACAATGACATCCAGGGGAGCTGGGATCCAGGAGTGCCTGGATGAGTTCCTATGTCTACTCTCAGCAGCTAGAAGGGGGCAGCGAGGGCAGAAACCCAGGGGGCAAACAAAGAGGCAGCAAAGGGCCTTGCCGACGTCATTGCTATAAAAAACAAAAAACCTTCTTACCTCAGTGCTTTCAAACTTGGCTCCTACCTGGGCAGCTCCAGTCCCTGAGAGCCACTAACACCAGACATCTGATGGGCAGGAGGAAAGGGAGGGAATTCTTCCAGGTTCTTATCAAGGGTCCAAGTATTTGGTAGTTCTGATAACCCCCACTCACGCTAAGGTACCACACGTCGTGAGCTCAAACAAGGGAGGTCTCTGGGCTCCAGCATTGATCCAGACACTAGGGCCCTGGGAACTCCAAAAGTATCCACCCTCAGGCTCCACGACTAACCTGGAAGCAGAAGCCTGCCTCTCTGTCTAGTCTCCCCCAACACACACTTTTGTTTTCATTTGTTTTTTGAGACAGGAACTCACTCTGCAGATCAAGCTGGACTCGAACTTACAGAGATTCTCCTGCCTCTATCTCCAAGGTTCTGGGATTAAAGGCCTGCGCCACCATGCCCAGCTCCATTTTGTTTTTGTTTTGTTTGTTTTGATATTTTGAGACAGTGTTTCATCCTAGCTGTCCTGGAATTAGCTCTGTAGACCGGGCTGGCCTGCCCCATCCTCCCGATATTAAAGGCATGCATCACCACTGCCTGGCCACATGTTTTTTAAAGACTTATTTTATGTCTATGAGTGTATTTCCTGCATGTATGTATGTGCACCATGTTCGTGCCTGGTGCCCACAGAGGTCAGAAGAGAGCATCAGATTTACTGGGACTGGAGATGGTTGTGAGCCACCAGGCGGGGGCTGGGAACTGAATCTGTGCCCTCTGTGAGAATAACAAGTGCACCAAAGCCCTGAGCCGCGGTTCTAGCTCTACTTCCGTTTCTCCACACTAAAGCTTGCTGGGTTTGGAGTCCCGGAACCTTCTCGCTCCTTCCTGAGCCTCAAAGATCCCGTTAGAACTTGATTCTGGGGGCCTTGCTCCATTGTCCACGGAGCCACTGCTTCTGCCCCCACGACCTGTCCCCAGCCCCACGGGGTCGCCAGGCCGTGGATGCTATTCAATTCAGAGTTACCCATACGGTTTGTTTTTTGTTTGTTTTGCTGTTGTTTGGAAGTTTTTTTGTTTGTTTTGTCTCATTGATCCCAGAACCTCACATAAACACCCTGCCACTGAGCTACACCCCCAACTCTCTTTACTTTTAATTTTTAAACACTCAGGTGCCCAGGCTGGCCTTTAACTCTCCAGCCTGAACCTCCAGCATGACTGGGATTACACAAACCTGCCCCATCAGGCCAGCTTGTATTCTTTATATAAAGAATTAAATAGGACCTAGCCTCAGCGAGTTTAGTCGGTCGGTTAGTTAGAACGCGGTGAGAGTCTGTTCTCTTCTCCAAACTGAGCCCCCCACCTCCGCCCCGCCCCGGGGGGTGCATTTATCTCCTGACCCTAAAGTGCCCTTCCTGACTGCCTGTTGGGTCCCTTCACCTTCTCTAAGAAGAGGCTGCTCCCCATAATACAAAAGCCCAGAGTCTCGCTGCCACCATCCTTCCTGCCCCTCCTGGTTTCTAGAGCTGAAATCCTCAGGTCTTGGACAGAAACTGGGTGTTCAAAAGGCCAGAGCCTGTGGCTGTCCCAAGTCTTGAAGCTCTGCCCCATTGGAAAGGCCTGACTAAAGGATCCAGTTTAGAGCCTCGGGTGTCACTCTCTCTCTCTGGAGTTGCCAGCTCTGCCCCCACCCCTCCAATCCATAGCCTCGGATCCCTCAGGTCCCGTCCCTGCCAGAGGCCACCCCTCTGCGCAGGCCTCATTCCAGCTGCCCAGATGGTGGCCCGGGCCTCCCAGGGGGCTCGGTGTGGCCGCCAGGTCACTTCACTTGGGTGGGGTGCTTAGCGGGAGGTCAGGCGGCAGCACCACCGCCAGGGCCATCGGAGGGGGTACAGGCGGTGACGCGCTCACGCGCGGTGGTCTGGCGGCCACGGCGGAGGCTGCCGGGTTCCTGGCGGCCGCAGGGCCCGCGACAAAGCTGGCGGAAGCAGCGCTTGAAGTTCTCGTCCAGGAAGGCATAGAGCACAGGGTTGAGGCTGCTGTTGGCGTAGCCCAGCGCAATGCACAGGTGCAGCGCGGCCACCACGAGTGGGTCGCGCCGATTGATGTCCACCAGCGTCCAGACGATGACGAAGATGTGGATGGGCGCCCAGCACACTACGAAGGCGCCCACCACCACCAGCACCATGCGTGTGATGCGCCGCAGGCTGCGGTCCTTCTCCTTGGAGCCCGACAGCAGGCGCACACTGCGCAGGCGCAGCAGCATGAGGCCATAGCACACGGTGATGATGAGGATCGGCACCACGAAGGCGAAGAGGAACACGCAGATCTTGGTCACCGTGTCCCAGTACCAGCTGGGGCTGGGGAACTGGAGCATGCATACCACTGCTCCGTCTGAGCCCGGGAAACAAGGAAAGACAAGGGTCAGAGGTCTGTGTGCCTAAGGGGCCCTGTCTGCTTGCTCCCTTTCAAGATGATTGATGCCTATATTGTCCCTTTACGTGCTGAACTCCTTCTTCTGCTTAAAGACCCCAGAATTGTTCCTCACCTGGGAGGTCCTCTTCTGTGTTTTCTCTCAGGCCGTTTGTAAGCCCCTATGTCCTTGGACGACATTAATAATTTATCGCGGCCTGGTAAGGGCAGTCGTGATGCTAACTCAGCAACTCCCCTACTACCTGTTTCCAAAATCGCTCCAGTGGGTTGGTTAGTACTGAAGATTGATTCTGAGGGTGAGTTAGGGCTGGAGATGTAATTCAGTTGCTAGAGTGCCCAGCATGCACTAAGCCCTGGGTTCAGTTCCCAGCACTGTATAAACTTGACCTGATGGCACATGCCTATAACCCAAGCACTCAGGAGATAGAGGCAGGGAGGAGCAGAAGTTCAAGGCCATCCTTGACTACATTAACTTCTAGGTTAGCTTGAGCTATATAAGATTCCCCACACACACACAAAAAAAAAAGCCTGAGTTAGGAGTCTAACTCCAGCCCAGATGTGTATGGCCTTGGGCAGATTACTCGCTGTCTTCACGTTTCCTTATGGTGGGGCTAACTGCCAAATGCACATTTCTTTAGTAGTGGTTAGATATATTTGTTCTCTGTGTGTATCTGCCACATACACATGTGGAGGTTATAGGACAATGTGCAGATCTCAGTTAATGTCAACAATAACCCTGTACCAGGCGAGGTAGCTCAAACCTCCAGTCCCACTGGTGACTCAGGAGCCTGAGGCAGGAGCATCCCAGGTGCAAGGCTAGGAAAAGGTACATACTGAGACTATGTCCAAAAGCAAAATAAAACAGCAGAGCCCTTCCCAACAGCCAGCACTGTAGAAAGAGGAAGGGAAGCATCCTGTTCCTGGAGAACAGGCTTGGGCCACACGAGCATCTCAGAGGATGTCTTAGGGTTCTGATGCAGGCCGGAAGCTGACCCAAGGGATGCTCCAGATCTCTTGGAGCCACACAGTGGACTTGCAGCCCGCGAGTCATGAGAAGGGGGCTGGAGTCCTTCAGACTGTCAGAAGCCCCGGGGATGACTGAGGACCAGTGTGTCATGTGAGCGATGATGCTCCGAGAGGGAGGAGTGAGGTCCTTTTGCCTCGGCTTCCAGCAAGCCTGCAGCTAATGAAGCATCAACTGAAGGCTGACATTGAGCAATGGGCCCTGCTGCTCAGTTAAAAGCAGTTGCTCAAAGGCTGTATAATGGCACTGGGGATCTGCCCTTGTGGCCATCAAGGTGTCTATGGCGTCTCCCACCAACCCTCTTCCCTTTCCCTACCCTGAGCATCAAGCTTCTACAGACTTCTACCCAGGGACCAAAAGAAAGGAGAGACCTGAGGGCAGGAGCCTTTAGGTCAAAGGTCAACTTCCATCCAGTGACTGCCTGGGAGACTGGAACTAAACCGCCCGACTTGATTCTGTTTTCGATCAGGGTCTGGATATATAATATAAAGTGGCCTTGGATTCAGGGTCTTTCTCAGTCTCCTGTGTGCTGGGGTTATGGGCACGTATCACCACGTTGTGTCTCAGTCAGAGGAGGGGAAGGGGGAGAGGTATCTCCGGCCTTGTCCATGAGGAGATAGGGCTCAGAGGTTGGCTGCTAATGCATAGGCACCCTTCCTTCCTTACGTCATGGTGGGGCCATGTGGGCAGTCAGCACTAGGAAGGGATGGACAAGAACACTGAAGAGTGGTTATGACTTCTCCTGATTTCCTTATTTATGCGCTGACCAGACAGCAAGAGTAGAAGACTTGGACACCTTCCCTGGGAGCCTGGGTTACCCCCAGACTATCCTCCTACCCAGTGGATTGTAGTGGACTGAGAAGTAAACGTCTATGGGTTGGGGATGTTTGTTACAGCAGCTACAGAGACGGATACAGACACCCCAGGAGATGCGCCTGTCGCCACTCCCTGCTGACCACTCTCTAGGTCTTGCTTTGGTCATTTGGACAATGGTATTTTTTTTTCCTCCTTATTTTCCTTTCTTTGTTTTTGAGACGGTTTTAGGTAGCCCAGGGTGGGCTAAAGCTAGCCTTGAACTCCTGATCTTCTTGCAAGGTCTATGGGTATGCAGCACCTGATCTACACTGGGGATTGATCCCGGGGCTCTGTGCGTCCTGAGCAAGCTCTCTACAAACAGAACTACATCCTCCCAGAAGTCCCTCTCTCCAGGCTCTTAGCCCATACCCAGGCTGGTCTCTCAAGACCTTCCTGCCTCAAGCTCCTGATGCCAGGATTAGCCCTGTATGTATTAGATACCCAACTTCCAGCTGTCTTCTTTTTTAATTTTTTAATTATGTGTATGGGGGAGGGGAGGGGCACATGAATGCACGTGCCCACAGAGGTTGGAGGTGTGAGATTCCCCCGGGAGCTGGGGTTACAGGCAATTGTTAGCCATCTGATATGGGTGCCGGGAATCAAACTCGGGTCCTCAGAAAGAGCAGTGTGTGTTCTTAACCACTGAGTCATCTCTCCAGGCCCCCCAGTGGTTTTCAGAAGTGGGATAAATGGAAGTTTAGGATGGGCCTGCAGAGTCTGTAGCCTCTGCTGTTGAATGTCCAGGACAATCATACCTTGGCCATTTATGCGTCTCCCTGGCCGGTATTATTCACAGTCCTGGCCAGCCAGTCCGTAAATCTATTATAGATTCCTTTTGGCCAGCAACCTACCAACCAGTGGTTCATCTTCACAGCAGTCTACCACCCACACTTCGCATTGGCTGGCTCTCCACCCCACTAGCCAATCCACTCCTTTCGTTGCTCTGTAACCCCTCCCAGTTGCCCAAATAAACGCCCTGGAAATCCACAGCCACAGAGGTCAACAGGTGGTCGGGCCTCCATAGCAGCTTCCTCGCGCACGCGCACTCACCCCGCGGTCGGGTCACTGCCATGACCATGATGGGGACCCCAACACCGGAAGCCAGGACCCAGATGCAGATGTTGATCAGCTTGGCCTTGGCAGGCGTTCGGAAGTCCAAGGCCTTGACCGGGTGGCAGACGGCGATGTAGCGGTCCACGCTCATCATGGTGAGGGTGAAGATGCTGGTGAACATGTTGTAGTAGTCAATGGACAGCACCGCCTTGCACAGCAGCTCCCCGAACGGCCACGTTTCCATCAGGTACTTGGCGCTCTGGAAGGGCAGCGTGCTGGTGGCCAGCGCATCAGCCAAGGCCAGGTTGAAGATGTAGATGTTGGTGGCGGTCTTCAACTTAGTGTACCTTAGAAGGAAGAGCAACGGGTGACTACCCACCTCGTGGGTTTCAGTTTTCATTACTCCGGGGGAGTAGAGGGAATTCATCAAAAATACACAAAGGGCTGGCCCGGTGTGGTGTCAATGCCTGCAATCCCAGCACTCAGGAAGCTAACCCATGAGGACTGGGGGTTCAGGACCAGCCTGGGCTACATGAGGCCCTTTCTAAAAAAAAAAAAGTAAAAAGGTTGGGAGCCAAGGTGGGCTTGGGCCTTGCACCACCCAGCTGACCATCACTCCTTCTCCCAGAAGCAGATGGGTAAGGGTCTCTCTGGAGCCTACGATCCCAGCGCTGGGGAGGCTGATGATGCGTTCAAGGCCAGCCTGAGCTACCTATGATAATGAGTGTGACAGAGAACCTGAGTTCAATTCCCAACACCAGCTCCAGGGAGAGAATCTCACAATGAATGGTACCTTGCCTCCAAAAAAAAAAAAAAAAGGAAGGAAGGGGTCAGGGGTCAGGAGAGTAAGGTTGTGAGTATTTAGTGAGATGATAGACAATGTAGCCCTGAGCCCAGGGATGTATAGAATAGAATCTATAGAATCTAGAATATATCAAATCTGGAATGTATAGAATGTATATATAATGCGCCCCTGAGTCCAGGGATTTATACACTCAGGACACAGGCAGGGTGCAGCTCGGCTGTCGGAGGCCTTGCCCAGCAGAGGTCAGAAAACAACTTATGGAGGTCCATTCTTACCCACCCCGGGGTGTTATCCATCTGTATAGAATGCAGTTGGGAATTAGACCATTTTCCTAGTCTTTGGGGAATATGATTGCTCAGCTCTGAGTGAGGGGTTCTGCTGGGACCTTACACCTTGAAGTGTCCTCTGTGGTAGCCCGGGGCTTCTGGTTCTTTGTTGGTTCCATTCAGGCCTCCTAACCCCACACAACTGGACCCATCCCACTGTGAATGCCACAGTTCATTCCCTTTCCTGTCCCCGCGCTGTGAGGAAGGTGAGCCACATTCACCGCCACACATCATAACCCAGGGTGTGAGACGCCCTGAACACTCCCAGCATACTTCACGCTCTGGGCTGCAGACAGCCATCCACGATGCAGCAGGCCCTTGCATGACCAGCATATACAGTCGCGGTCCCTTAGGTACAGGGCCTGGGCTGGGTACCGGGTGGTATGGAGGAGGCTGTTCTAGAGCAGCACCAGCACTGGCTTCTTAAAAACCCAGCCACTTGCTAGGCGGTGGTGGTGAACACCTTTAATCCCCTCACTTGGGATTTAGTTTAAAAAAAAAAAAAAAAGGCTCCCCTCATTGTCCTCCACGACCAGCGTCTGTCCCAAAATAACTACTCTTTGCTCTGGGTCTTGAGCAGAGAAACTTTTCGCTCAGAGAATTGCGAGTCTCGGAAGTGTCTTCATCAGGCTGTGGATCACAGCTGTGTGGGAGGCGGTCCCGAGCCCACAGCTGACTCGTCTAATTTCTCTGCTCTTACACGGAACAATTCGAGGCTGTTCTTTGCCTGCTATTTTGATTTGTGATGGATCCTTCCATCCCCAGAGGGGGCTGGGCTGCTGGTGAGTGAGAACCTAGGCTGCTGGGCTGGTCCACGTGGGGCTGAAGGGCCTCCCTCTCTCTTGTCCTCTATAGCCACACCTTACCCTGGTGGCCTCCTTAGGCTCCTGCTCCAGCCAGAAAACAAATCGTACCTCATTTCTGCTCTCAACCCCCAGAATCCCCCCAAAACACCATCTATGTTCCATAAGTGGGCTCCAACCTTACCCCTGGGGTCCAGGCTTTCCGGATCTATCTGACGAATGTCCTGGGTCACACTGACCTTTCTGCTATTCCTCAGACACGTCAAACCCAGCGCCCCCTCAGGACTTTTGGACTTACTGCCATCCTCATCAGTCAAGTGTATTGCCACTCCACTTGGCTCATGTCTCTTTTCAGACCGCCTCTTCTGAGAGGCCCACTCCAATCACCTTCTCTTGGGCTGCTTCCGTCTTTCTAGCACACGCCACTGTCTCGTGTTCTCCCTGACGGAATTCTCTTTACTCCCAGGACTCTGGCCTCTCTAGGTTCCCCGAGTTAGAGGATTTGGACCATTCTGTTCCCTGGAAGCAACAGGCTCCCTCAGACAAGTATCATGTCTTATACCAGGGCTCGGGGTGTCACCCCTGAAAGGCAGATCTGTGTGACCCACTGTGTGAACTTCCACAGTCCTCACCAGCAGCCCCGCAGACCGGCATGCCTTCCCATGTCTGGTCACGTGTGGATTCCTCAGTGGGGCTGTCTAGCAAGCTGTTTTCCCTGGGACACACCTCTGTGAACCATTTGTCTGGTGGACCAATTTCCAAACTACAAGCACCAAAAAATTATAAAATCATGTTTCTGCCAATGTAACACAAAGTGCAGAGTGTCAGAGTGTAAACACCATCCTCTGTCCTCTCTCTCCTCCGTCCTGCTCCCCGCCAGCATCCACGGCGAAGGCTTTATCTGTCCTCTCGACTGTTAGATCTCAAATCCTGAGGTCCATCCCCAGGACCCACATACAAGAAGGTAAAAACCAACTTGCACAAGTTGCCCTCTGACTTTCTCAGGCACACCATGGCACATGTGTCGCCCACCCATACACAGAGAGATGTTTTTAATATCCTGGGGGCTAGGGAGACGGCTCAGCAGTACAGCGAACTGACTACTCTTTAAGAGGTTCAGTTCCCAGCACCCACATGGTGGCTCACAGCTGTCTGGAACTACAGTTTCAAGAGGATCTGGCGCCCTCTTCCTGCCCCCATGGGTACTGCATACATATGGCACAAATACATGCAGGCAAGACACTCAAACACATAAATAAAATATAAAAATAAAAAATGTAAAAGAAGATGCTTAGATGATGTTCTCATTTGTCATCTTTAGACACTACTTCTTGGACTTTGCATGTGGTTAAGCAAGACAATGACAACCCCAGAATCTCAGTGGCTGTACTCACCAAAGGTTCGTGTCTCACCTCACAGTCTGCCCAGCTTTACATAGACCTCGCATTCTATGACGCAGTCCTGGGTGGCTCCACTTTTCAAACCCTGTCATTTTAACCCAAGTCCTTCCTGAAGCCAGGAGTCGCGACCCCGCCACCTGCAGGGGGCTCAGTCTTCTCTGTGCCCGGAGAACCAGATAAGCATTTTAGAAAAACATCTAGGGTTTGCTTTGTTCATTGTGTGTGTGTGTGTGTGTGTTTACCATATGTTTTAATATTTACATAGAGAGTCTCACTATGTTGCCCAGGCTGGTCTCTAATTTGTAGGCTCAGACGACCTTCTCACCCAGCTGCTGAGACTATAGGTGCGCCCACGCGTGCACGCTAATTTCACCTGCGTGGAGGCCGTAGGGCTTGGCGGCAGCACCTTACCTGCTGAGCCACCTCAACTCAGCAGCCCAGGACTGACATTCTTCTTACAGCTAACTGTCTGCTTCTGTATCAAAGAGCACATCACGTATACACTTACACCCAACTGTCTGCTTCTGTGTCAAAGAGCACATCACACATACACTTACACCCAACTGTCTGCTTCTGTGTGAAAGAGGACATCACACATACACTTACACCCAACTGTCTGCTTCTGTGTCAAAGAGCACATCATGGGTCCATTTACATCCTTGTGCAGATTTTCCCCCTACAGTCAGCAGCCTCTTTTTCGTCATTGGCTTTATTAGTTTGATTTTTTTTTTTTTTTTTTTTTTTTTGGTTTTTCGAGACAGGGTTTCTCTGTGGCTTTGGAGCCTGTCCTGGAACTAGCTCTGTAGACCAGGCTGGTCTCGAACTCACAGAGATCCGCCTGCCTCTGCCTCCCGAGTGCTGGGATTAAAGGCGTGCGCCACCACGCCCCGGCTAGTTTGAATTTTTTAAAGCCCATTTTGGTCCAGGCTGGCCTGGACCTCGATGTAACTGAGGATGACCTTGAACTCCTGATCTCCTGCCTCCACTTCCTGGGTGCTGAGGTGACTGGGCGTGCGCCTCTGCTCCAGGCTTCAAATGCGCCTTTCATTTATTTCTATGTGCATCTTGCTAAACTTCATCAGACCTGCAAAATGCTTCTCTATTTATCCACATTATCTATGTATTGCTTTGTTTTCCCGTGAGCTCCCTTCTAGACCCTTCCTCCTCCCGTTTGCACCTGAGGCTGGATGCCATCTCGGACCAGCTACCTATCCTGGTTTCCTGGATCCAAAGTCTCCCCGGGTTCATGTCTTCATTTTGGGGGGAGCACATCCTGTAGCCACCTTCTGAGAAAGGTTTATAGGAGGCAAAGTTTTTATCACTTTCTCTGCGATTGTTTTTATATTGATTTCTAATTCCTTTTAATGTAAGTATGATCATGGGTGTAAATAATTTCCCATCAGAACTTTGAGTACATAGGCCGCTCATCGCCTGCCTTGCAGCATCTGGAAGTACTGGAAGCATTCTGATTCTTGATGCCATCTGACCCCCTTACCCTAAAATTCCTAGAATGTTCCCTTTAAGCCTAGTCGTCTGCCAGTTGGTGACGTGGTGCTTTGGGGGTACTCGTTTTCACGTGCAGTCTGCAGATTCATATCCCGTTGTATAAAACGGGCCTCATGCATTGATCTTCTGACTTATTTTCTTCCTTCCTTCCTGATATTTGTGAGAGCAAGGGGTGCTCACACATGCATGCCTGTGTGGAGACCACAGGTTGGCCTCGGGGGTTCCTCTCTATCAATCTCCACCTTATTTTTGGAGACAGGGTTTCCCACCGAACCTGGAGCTTCACAGTTCCGCTAGACAGGCTGTCCAGAAAGCCCCTGGAACCTGCCTGCCTCCGCCTCCCTCCTGCCTATGTACACTTGCCGCAGCAAGGTGCTCTGACGTGAGCACCAGAGATGCGAACTCCGGTCCTCCAGCTTTTACAGCAAGCGCTGTTGCGCACTCAACCACCTCCCACCCTGGCCTTCTAACTTTCTTATAAGGTCTTTTTTGATATAACCTCCAGAG